AATCCAATTCTTATTAATATTCAACTTCTACTGAAAGAAAAAAGTTATTTACTGACAATCATTTTTTTCTATTTATTTATTAAAATGTATTCATTGATTTGTTTAATAAATCAAGTAATTGTAAATCAGTAGCAAGCTACTATAAGTTAATGCAGAGCTCTGGTGACCTAGAGGGTAGGAAATTATACTATTAAGAAAAAGTGAAGAGTTCAAAACTAACAGCTGCTCTGCAGAAAGAAGATGGGAGACTCTCTTGCAGTGTTATTTACAGTCTCTGAAAACATGATGGAGGGTCATTTCTGTATGAGTTGCTTCCAAATGGAAGGAAATGAGTGAGTGAAAAATAGTTACCAATTTATGTAACTGTGAGAAAAGTTAACATCAGATATTTGTGTTTCAATTTATTGAAGATCTGTTTATTTCTGAAAGGCTCAAGTGATTATTCTATGAATAAGCATACAGAGTTCTCTTACAAACTTTCCCCCTTCTTTTACTATTTTTTGTGTTCTTTAATTATCCTTATGTTCTGTTTAAGTGTCATCTTGAGATGTAAGACTCATCTTTTCAGGGTCTTTGTTTATGATTAAAAAGTTTAGATAACCCTGTCTCCTGTTTGCATTTGCTCTGTTAAATCTATGTTTCTATCTATCTATCTATCTATCTATCTATCTATCTATCTATCTAGTAAATTGGAATCCTTACAGGTTTCTTTTAAATTACTCTTACAACTCTTGAATGAAATAATAAAAAATATAAAATATCTAAAAAGCTTTGGCTTAGTGATAAAGAATTGCTCTAATAATATAAAGGTAAACCAGTCTAATTCATGAACTTTTCCAGAGGAAAAAAATGGGCAGTCTCTGTGTAATTTACTTGCTTCTGAAAACCAGCTGGAGGATCAGCGACTTGTTGGTTCTCAATTTATACTACACAACAAACAAAAACAACAAAGAACTCCCAAAAATAAAAAAATAAAATAAATCAGCTTTAAAATGGACAAATAAACTGAAGAGTTCCCAAAGATTTTAATAGGGTCAATATTGCTGTTGTTACATAGCTTCAAGTCAGAAGCAACTCATTGCTGACTTTCCAGAGGTTTTCAGAGGCTGTAAATCTACAGGGAGGAGATTTCTATTTTCCTCTCATGGAACAATTGATGAAGTCGAACCATGTGTCTTGGATTGCAGAACAAGGACTTACCACAAAACCATCAGAATTCCCTAAAGGGTCAACAAGCACCCAAAAACATGACTGACATCATTTTGTACTGGGGGGGGACATATATATATATATAAAATAAATATTTCACTATTATATTTGAAAATCAATATAGGTTGCTATTAGATGTCATAAAATGCAACAGCAATCCACATAAAATAAAAATTAAGGGAAAATATATATTTAAAGAGGAGACATTTTAAATGTTATATGAAATTATTTAACAGATACATACAGACATAAATTTTAAAAACTTGGATGAAATATATATTTCTATAGTAGTTTGAAGATTACTCAAATCAAAACCAATAGGCTCATAAGCAAGAAAACTCTCACTTTCTGTAGGAAAGATGGGAATATAATTCCTCAGGCTCGATGCTGTCTCAGGAGAATTCTACTAAGTGTTCAAAGACAACATAATCACTATGCTTCTAAGTTGTTATACAGCATGGAAAATGAAGGGAAAAGTCTTCTTTCTTATTTTGAAGATAGTATAGCATTGCATCTGGGTTACATAGATTCCTAAGGTTCCATAATTCCTACTCCTACTGTTCAAACTCATTCTTGCTGATGACTTCTAGCTAATAGAATACGGCAGTGGTATACAATTTCATGTAAATGATTTTTTATTATGAAACCTGAATTTGGTACCTATGTCACTGAAATTTTTCCCTCTTCATTGCTGACTTGAGAATGGGAATATAAGGGCACGAGGCATGAAGTACCTGGTTTACACGCTTTCACAAAAGTAGTTATTAGTAAGATGATTGCAAGGGAAAATCCTCCCCCACCCAGTACACACAATATAATTGAACAGAACACAATGTAATTAAAAACAGTATAAAACACAGTGAACATGCACGAAACAATGCATATGAATAATAAAAATATTAATCAAACTACTCCAGTTTGAGATCTTAGAAAAAGTATAGGTAGGTTCTTGAAGCAACAGGTGCCCTCTAGTGGACAACTTTCAAGGACCTCCAGCCCGCAGCCTACAAGAAAATGAGCTCTCAGGTAAATTTAGTGAATGACCAAAAAAGTTTGGATACACTAAAACAACTATGAGATATTGTCTCACCCCAGCAAGAATAGCAAAATTTAACACAACAGTAAACAACAAATGTTGAAGAGGTTGTGGAGAAAATGGAACCCTTAGTCACTGTTCGTGGGAGTGTAAAATGGTGCAGCAATTATAGAAGGCAGTGTGGAGCTTTCTCAAAGTTCAAAATCAAAATACCCTTTGACTCAGCAACTCCACTACTGGGAATATACCCAAAGAAACCAAAACTACCATCCAAGCAGACATATGCACACTCATCTTTATTGCTGTTTTGTTCACAATAGCAAAGAGTTGGAAACAACCCTAGTGCCCATCAACAAATGAATGGATGGAGCAGCTGTGGTATATATTCCCACAATGGAATATTATGCAGCACTGAAAAACAAAGAACTAATGAAATATACAAAATGAGTGGCTATGGAGGACATTATGCTGAGTGAAATATTTTAGTCACAAAAAGACAAATACTGCATAATGCCGCAGTTATAGAACAAGACTGATACAGGGATTGGTGAGAAACAGAAAAGAGAAGATAAAAAATAATGGACATGGCATTAAAACAAAAGAGGAAGAGAACTATATAAAAGTAATATATGATTAGGTATTATTGACATGACAAGAGTTCTGAATAAGAGCTGCACAGTAAAGTGGTCGGGGGGGGTGGGGAGGACTGTATAACAATGAAATAATTTTTTTTCAAAGAAAAACGTGAACTGGGGTGAAGGGATGCAGGAAGGAAAATGTACAACAAGGAATGAATGTAAATCTAAGTTCTTTATAAACTTTCATTAAAATCTAAAATAAATAAACAAGAAAGAAAGAGTTTGGAAACATCTAACTACAGCAAAACTTTGGAGACTGTCAGATCTCTATATAATCTCTTAAATTTCAATCTTTATATACTTTAACAGTCTTAGTATCAGCTGAAATAATATTTTTATTCAGTTATCACAGCCCACCATTCAGTGTTGTTGTTGCTGTTTTGCGCCGTCGAGTCATAGTGACTCTGTGTACAATAGCCCTAGAACCTGCTCTATTCTGTGCTAACTTTACTTCTCTGACACACCTTCCCTCGTTACCCCTGTCACTGAATCAATCCATCTCATCAATGATCTTCCTCTCTTTGTTCTTCCACCTTCCAAGTATGATGTTCCTCTCCAAGGACTGGTCTCTCCTTGCAACATGTTCAAAGAATGTCAGACGGTCTTCAGAATCCTTGCTTCCAAAGAGCAGATTGGTTTCACCCTCTCTAGGATGAACCTGTTTATTCTCTTTGTAGTCCATGATATATTCAATACTCTTCTCCAGCACCACAGCTCAAAGACATCAATTCTCTATCATCTCTAGCCATAGCCCAACCCTCTGAAGCATAGCAAGCAACTGCAAAGACTATGGCCTGGATCAGGTGCACCTTGGTCTCCAGACTAACATCGTTGCTCCTCAGTACTCTGGAGAAGTCCCTGACAGCCAACTTCCCCAATGCAATTCCTCTCTTGATTTCTTGGCTCTTGATACCAAGAGTGTTGATTTTGTTTACACTATTCAATGCAAATGTTTTTAAAATCAATTGCTATCTTAGAGAACTCTGGTGGCCTAGTAGGTAATGACTCACACTGCCAATCTAAAGACAGAAAATTCAAACCCACCAGCTGATTCACAGGAGAAAGATGGGCAAACTCCTCTGAGATTTGCAGTTTAGAAAATTTGCTGAAGGGTTGGAAATGAGTTCATTCACACTTGATGGTAAAGAAGGAAATATTATCTGAGAATGTAGTGGAAATAGAAGTACTCTATAGCCTATGTATTTCATAAGCTAACACAAGAGGAAAAAAGATTAAAAGTAGAGGATAGAGTGGCAGAATTCATTTTAATTTCTTTTTAGAGAGATCATGAACATGAAAGTTTTGATAAATCAATGTGCTTTATTATTTACCACACAACAAGCAAAGCTCCAGTCAAATTTTAGCAAAACTTCGTGTATAATGAACAGTGTGGAGGCATAACATACATGATTTCCTCAGTCAAAGAAAACTGAAGCTCACAACATGAAGTTACTTGTCTAAACTTTTCTAGGCTCTAGCCTTGTGGGTAAGAAGTTGTGCTGTCAAATTAAAGGCCAGCTAGCCTAATCCACCAGCTGGTCTGTGGTAGAAAAATGGGCAGTCTCCTTCTGAATAATTGACAGCTTCTAAAAACCCATCAGAGGGTTAGCCATGAGTTGGTTCCAACTGGGCAGCAGTAAGTTAGGTTTTAGAGTTTTCTTAAGAAAGCAGACCTTTGAATTAGTGAAGGAGACGTAAGCAATAGGGAAAAATATGTTCTAAACAAAGAAATTGTTGTTTTTCTTGAAAACCAGAATGAAATTACTGTACTAAGTAACTTGGATATAGAGTTATTTAAATAAAGACCAGGTTTACTCTTCCAGATTAAACAAATTTATTATTTCATCCGAGAAATACACTCAAACATGAAAATCATCAAGGTAGTTTCAGTGAAATCAACATCCTAATGTAAGTTTAACTGTGAGATCTCAGATGAATTATATATTCTGCAGCTTTTCAGGAGACAAATTCTGGAAATTTGTAGTTCAGATTGTAGATCCACCTCCAACTTCAGTGAAGTAGTAGAATCATCAACTAAGAAAGAAACTCAGGACGTGTAGTTCTCAAAATTCGCAAAGTACAATGTCCAAGTATAGAATGAGTCTCACATAATATTCTTAATAGTAGTAGCCAAAGCCAGAGCCATAGACAGAACCACAGCCATAGCCGCATCCACACAGAGAACGGGAGCCATAGCCATAGCCACAGCCATAGCCACAGCCCAGTCTACGGAAGCCACAGCCATAGCAGGACCCATAACCACAGCCCAGACCTCCGTAACCGTAGCCTAGGCCTCCATAACCATAGCCCAGGCCTCCGTAGCCACAGCATCCACAGCCACGACCCCCGTAGTAGTTTCCGTAGTAGCTGCCACACATGGTGTTGGTTGCTGAGGTTGTCTTTGGTAGAGAAGAAGTTTGGATGACTTCAGTATGGGCAGTGATTGCTACAGAGACCTTTTATACACTTTCTGGGTGGGGGAAGCCAATCACATGTGTTCATACCATTGACTAATTTGCAAGACCAATAAGAATAATTTGTTGAGTCCTTATTCTAACATGTAGCTTCAGAAGCATTGAGGAGATTTGCTTTTTTTAGCCACATAAGCTAATTGTCAACTGTTAATTAAAATAGCATGTCTCATCTTTAACCCTTCACCTCCAAAAAGCTTCAAAGAACCCTTTAGAACCTACAATTATGAAAAGAAATGGAAGTTTTAGTAGACAAACTTTAACGTGTACTAACCAATGCATCATTTTCTCTCCTTTTTTCCCCCTCAAATACTCATGATAGTCTGCCTTAACTTTGAGCTCCCTCTGTCCTATTTTGCCCAATGCCGAGTTTTTTCCTCTTTATGGATTCTAATAATTTTCAGGTTCAAGATATCAAATGATATGTCTCAACGTTATCAGAATAGTTTAAAAAAGGCAATGGATTGAAATCTGGAAATTAATTCTGGAAAAATTGGACTTCCTAGTTATATAAAGTTGGATTTTTACTACTCTTCTTTTTAAACCATTAAATACAGTTCTATAGTTTCCAATTTATATTCTGAATCCACAATATGGTGAAAATGAAAAATTACAATAGTCTTACCTTCTCCACTTATAAAATCTCATTTTTAGCAAATCATTTTTATAAATGTCAAGATTTTTGTAATGTTTTTGTTCTGTTGAATATATGCATTGCTTTATTTCAGAAAATACTGGCAGATATAATCTTTCTATAAAGCTTAGTGAATTTCACACACACCCACACAAACTCCAAAGAATTCTTGGTAAAATACCGGACTATGAGAAACATACAATATTTTTCACATAATAAGATTTTTAACGGAACTGAAAAGCACAGCTTTTCTGATTAAGAGAATCATTTTCTCTGAACTTGTTGCAGGTCAAATAACTTTCTAGAAGTCTATGAAGTATTGTTGTTGTTATGTGCCATTGAGTTGTCTGCAAGCCTATGACCCATAACGACACTACGTACACAGCAGCTCTGAAGCCTGCCCTGTCCTGAGCCAGTCTCACTGATTCCAACACACCTACCCCCATTACCCTAGTTACTGTATCAACCCATCTCATCTGAGGTCTTCTTTTCCTGCACTCCATCCTTCCAAGCATGATGTCCTTCTCCAGGGATCCATCCCTCCTGATCACATGACCAAAGTATGTGTGACAAAACTTCAAAATCCTTGCCTCCAATGAGAAACCTGGTTTCACCCTCTCCAGGACAAACCTATTTGTCTTCTTGGAGGTCCTTGGTATGTTCAAAACTTTTTCCAACATGAAGGCATCAATTCTTCTTCTGTCATCCTTAGTCATTTTCCAGTTCTTTGATGCATAGCAAGTAATTGTGAAGGCCATGGCACAGAATAGAAAGAAACACTTCTAGAACCATTTCTCTAGAAACAAATGTGAACCATATTACTATTTTTTTAAAATGCTCCTCAAGTAAGTTACTTCACTTTGTGTGTCAGTCTGTTAATGGGAATTTTGCTAAGTAACTCTTAAGAATGATTTTTAGCATCAGATATTATAGGATAAGCTTTGAACAAATAGCATATAATAAGCTCAACTGAGCTCATTGACATCAAGTCAGAACCAACTTAGACCCTCGATCAGATTTTCAGAAGCTACAAATGGCACAGAAGGAGACTGTCCATCTTTTTCCCTAGGGAGCTGCTAGTGGCTTTGAACCACTAGAGAAGTAGTTGTTATTAAGTGCTGTTGAGTTGTAGGCAACTGATTGTGACCCTGTGAACAGAAGTCCTCAGCATTTGCGTGACTTTTATCCTTTCTTCAGTTTCATAGGGTTTCCGGAGGCAAGCTATTTATGGAAATGAACACCACTCCTGCTTCCAAGCTTGTTTTAATCAGGGAGCTCCACCAAACACTGTCCACCATGAGTAACCATCATCACTTTTGACACAACAGTATCAAAGTGTTCAGCTTCACAGCAACCAAGAGTTACCCCTGTATGGGGCAAGTGGACGCACTAGGGCTATACGACCTACAAAAATGTTTGACCAAAAACAATTAAAAATAGGCCTGAGGGCCATGGATTAAAGTCACCCACCTTTAGCTTGGTAGCATCACTTTCGTTCCACTAGGCCAAGTGGTCTCTTTCTATGTTGTTAAGTGTGGTCGAGTCATAGGCGACTCATAGAGACCCTATGAATGAAGCTTCCTCAACACTTGCATGACTTCCATTCTTTCTCCAGGTTCATAGGGTTACTGGAGGCAAGCTATTTATGGAAGTGGTAGAGTTTTTGAATTAACAACAAAACTCTGCATAGAATACAGTAATGTTTGCTTTCATTATTAGTGCCCTCTTATAACTGTTTACTTAGATATATAGTAGAAAATTGGTAGATTAAACAGAAGTATTTAAATTTAGATTCTCATTTAAGGGTCATGTACTGTTGCTGAAAAAGGAGAAAAGCATCTGCATTAAGGCTACACATTTAGGAATAATAGAAAGGTTATCTCTGTTCATTCTGAGAAAGATACCCCCATCCCTTTAGATACTCATACACACTTTGTTAGTTAAACTTTTTATTTCTACAGTAATAGTGTTATACAACATTTATCCTTATGGGACTGAGTTAGTTTACTTAGCATAATGCTCTCTAGTTCCTCCAATCGTTGTTCTTGCACACTTCGTGGTATTCCATTGTGTGAATATCTTTTTAAAAATAGTCCACTTTCCTCATTGGCAATCATAATGAAATCCTAGAATTCCCTGCATTCAGGTTAAACATTTGGATGCTGACCTCTCAGATTCTTTCAGCTCTGAGAAAGATCTGGCAATGTTTCTCTGAAATGACTACAATATAACTTTCAGCCTTTGCAATTCAAAAGCTTAAAGGTAGACAACTAATTGACAATATTTAGAATAATGAACTCTACAGCCTCATCCATAATAAATTTCATTTTCCAACCTCACATATCACAAAAAATCTGTACTGTTTAAGTAATAACCTCTCTCTTCTCATCTTCTCTCACCCCAGTTATCATGAATAAATTTTGGTCTATATACCTTAACTTTTCTTATCTTTAATATATTTTTTGTTGTTGTGTACCACAGAGTCAGAACCAACCCATAGCTGACCCTCCCGTGGATTTTCAGGGACAGTTAATTGCACAGGAGGAGAGTGCCCATCCTTCTCCCTATTTAATATGTTACCAAATGAAATATTTGTCCTTTAGTTATGACTTATGAAACTCAAAATAATGTCTTCAAACATTGTTTGTGTTAAAGCACATATCAAGATTCTCCATTGTGTGTGTATGTATTATATTTAGTTTAGTTGGTTCAATATTTTGTTTTGCTGTTTGTTTGTTTTAAATTGTATGCTATCTTTTGTCTATTGTGCTATAACAGAGCTTTGATGAATTTTGGTGTTTAAGTCTCTATTTGAGTTTCTACTTGCACGATTCTGGATATATATCAGAGGGTAGAGTTGTTGGGCCATATGTTATTGCTGTTGTTAGGTGCCATTAATTTGAATATGACTCATAGCAACCTTATAAACGTCAGATCTGAATTTCGCCATGTCTTATACCATCGTCCTCCTCTCTACCACACTAGAAACTTTCATTATAGACACTGTGTTGATCCATCTCACTGAGGGTCTTCCCCTCTTTCACTGACTCTTCATTATTGTGAACAAAATGTCTTTTTTTCAAGGACTAGTTTCTCTTAACAACATGATCAAAGTATGTGAGACAGTTTCACTGTCTTTCCTTCCCTCTCTGAGGAGCTTCCTAGCTGTGCTTTCTCCAAGATATTCCTTTTGGGGGGAAATTTATGGGATGCTCTGTATTCTTCTCCAACATCACAACCCAAAGGAATCAATTTTTCTGTCATCTTTATTCACTCTCGAACTCTCATATTCATATCTAGAATTGAGAAGACCATGGCTTGAACAGGGACGTTTTTGTCTCTAAACCAGTATCCTTATTCTTTTGAATTTTGGAGAGAGCCCTGACTAGAGATTTTCTCAATGCAAATCATCTTTTGATTTAGTGACAGCTGGTGCAAAGATTGTTGATTGTGAAACCACGTTTGATGAAATTGTTGACAATTTCTATCTTTTCTTCATCTATTATTATGTTTCCAATTGATCCAGTGGTGAGAATTTTTATTTTCTTGATGTTGAGACACAATGTAAACTGAAGGCTGTAGTCTTTGATCTTTATAGCAAGCACTTTAAGTTCTCTTCCCTTTTAGCAAGCAAAGTTGTGTCATCTGCATAACAGCCATTGTAAATGAGTCTTCCTCCTTCCAATGCTGATGCCACATTCTTCTTCTTAAAGTCAAACTTCTCGAATGGTTTATATGTGTAATATATAAATATAATATCTATTATAATATAATAGTTAAATTTTAGATGTAGGCAAGATAATGGGATGAAGCACTGCCCATTCCTGGGCATTACTAGCACAACCAGCTGTGCATTAACCCATTGCTGGGGCCACTATGTCAATTCATCTTACTGATATTTTTTTTTAACTAAAAAAAAAAGTGTGCTTTACCTAGAGCACTCTGGTGGCCTAGTGGAAAGAAGCTGTTGAAATCCAAAAGGCACACGGTTTGAGGCTCCAAACATGATGTTTCTCTCTCCAGGGACTGTCCTTTCCCAATAACTTGCCCAATGTATATTAGACAAAGACTTAGCATTTTTCTTTCTAAGGAATATCCTGACCTCTCTTTAACGGTAAGCAATGGGTAAGAGTTTCAATTATTTCCCTATAGGCTTACCTACCCATGTGGTTGCTGTGAAGCTGAACACTTTGACACTGATGTGTCAAATGCAATAATGGTGACCCATGGTGGGCAGTGTTTGCTGGATCTCCCTGATTAAAACAAGTTTGGAAGCAGAAGTGGCATCCACTTCTGAAATAGCTTGCCTCCAAAACCCCTATGAACTTGGAGAAACAATGAAAGTTATACAAGTCTGCAGGTCTTTCATTCAGAGAGTCACTATGAGTCTCCTATGACTTGACGACACTTAACAACAAGGCTTAGCTATATTTGTGCTTTTTTCCCCTCAATCTTAGCTACCCTTTTGTTTTTGGTAGATACTATCGACTGAAAGTGATATAGTAGCAAATTGTGGTTTTTATGTGCTGCTTTTGGTATTTAATTACACCTTTTCATGTCCTTGCTGGCCATTTTCAGAGTCCTCTTTGGTGAAAAACTGAATTGGCAAAAGCTGTATAATAGATGAATTTACAGCTGTGACAGAAAAGGTACCTTTTTTCTACCTCACAGGATTTGATTCCTTAGTTTTGGGGCTCAGGGATATAATTTTAGAGGATATCCTAGTTAATGGGCCTAGTAAAGTGTTAGTATTCTTGTTATATATCTCACAGCTTGATTTCTAGTTCTGAGGTCTTTAAAGCTAAAAAGCAATCTTCCAAGATTTCTGTATTTCAAAAGATCTAAATACACAGAAGATGAAGTATAATCAAGATTAGAAGAAAGAAATGAATAAGATTAATTGCCTGTATAAATAGCTGTCTTCAATGACCTAGGACCAGAGAAACTGGATTATAGCTGGCCACAGTACCTAACATTTTTATAAAACATTTTTTGTAAGAATCTTAATGAAAATGGAGGAAATACAGAACAGCATTTCAAACTCTCATCAACTCCAGACATTCTGCAACCATAAAGGTTGAATTAAACTCTGAAACTATTGCCCTGAAATATTTGTCAAACCTGAAACCAAATATAATATCTGAAGTCAAAAAGAATAGTTTGTTTTAACTAGTAAAAATTCTTTTCCTTAAGAAATAATATACTTTAAAAAAATCTATGTGAAATCAAGTAGGCAAAAGAAACTTGGAAGTTTAGATAAGAAACTTCTTAGTGAACAGTAAGTTTATGTTAATGAAGATGGAATAATTCAGAAAAAGATAATATTTGCATACCTGAAAGAATGTGATTAATCTCACTAAAGTTCATGTGCAGAAATTTTTAAAAATCAAAAGAAACAATTTTTTTAAATAAATTAAAGCCTAGAAAACCTTATGAGGCTGTTCTACTTAGTCAGATGGGATTACTGAGTAAAAAAAAAAAAAAAAAACCAAAAAACAATCAACCTAACAATACCTTAAACAACAATAAGTAAATGGTTTGCATAGTTTTGGTGTTTTCATCATCTCTAACATTGAATTAAGATTTATGTTCTCTAAAAAAAAAAAAAAAAAAAAACAAAAAACAATCAACCTAACAATACCTTAAACAACAATAAGTAAATGGTTTGCATAGTTTTGGTGTTTTCATCATCTCTAACATTGAATTAAGATTTATGTTCTCTAAGAAAAAAATTTAAAAACAGGTCAAGATTCTGTCATTTAAGCAACGTGATTTGATTTTTAAAAATTTAACACAACAGTAAGTAATTTTACCTATGAAGGCCTCACTATGAGTAATGAAATAGAAATTTATGAGAGTGTTGCTATTGGTGTTGTTTGTGGTTAACATAAATACAGTTTATAACAAGCATAGCACTTTTATGGTTTGCCACACCTACTACTGAAAAAGTATAAAAGGTCCTGGGAAGCTGGTGGTGATATTCACAACTCAGGAAATTTTCTTCCTCTCCCACACTTGAACCATCCAATCCTGACACCATGTGCTATTATGGCAACTACTATGGCAACCTGGGCTATGGCTATGGCGGCCTAGGCTGTGGCTATGGCGGTGGTTACGGTTGTGGCTATCGAGGCTATGGTGGGTATGGATATGGCTGCTGCCGCCCATCTTGCTATGGAAGATATTGGTCCTATGGATTCTACTGAAAGCTGCTACGGCCATTGAATCCATGGAATATGTTCATGTCTGAAGAATGAATCTGTGACTTACCCCATTTCTACTAATATGATTTCTCAAAATAGTAACACTCTCAGTCTAGATTATCATGAAAACTAGCAATGTCATATTTCACTGGTTTTATTGTGTAGGATTATAACAAATATGTTTTAAAGTATTTCCGTTCTATTATGACTGCTTTCAATAAATTTATCTTCAGAAAAAAATGAAATGATTTTATGCATATTTCTTTTACATCTTCATTTTGTTTGTAGATGATTATACAAAGGAAGTTGGTAATAATTAGCAGTTGATGTGACTCAAAAGACTACGCCTGAGAATCAGTTCTTTGAAATCTCAGTCATATATTAATAGCTGTCTGTAAATTGTCCAAAACAAGCCCAATTTTCAACTTCTACATGACAATTCCCTCCATTATTCCTTAAATCTAATGTTTGTTCTTTACATGTTTATTATAACATTTAAAATTAAGATTATTATGAAATCTTACCACTTAGATAATGTTGACTTTTTCCTCTTGAAATTACTAGCTAAGCAATCAAAGCACACCAGAATTCCGGCAGCTGTGATAGACTGACTTCCTGTTTGTTTCACAGAATCCAGTGGAACACATCCCAATTTGAAGGATGCATCTGTGAATTTTCTACAGTGTCTGCTTCTTTACTACATTCTGGTGGCTTCACCACAAGAAAGCCTTTCATTCATTTGATGTCATTTGGACAGATTCATGTTCATCATAAAATGGGTCATAGAATATATACTGCCAAATATGAGCCTGGTTATCTTTTAATAAAACTCTTTATGATACCTTATTTTTATTATAAGACCCATTTCATATATTCACTCATCTATTTATTCCTTCATTTCATTCACAGTTTATATTGTATTTCAGGCATTCTTCTGTGTAGAAAGAAAACATTTTGTTGATGTTTAAGATGGTTTCTATTGTGAGATCACTAAGTTATATGAAGATATGTCATTTACAAAAATCTTATATTTGCATACAACTAAAATCTTAAACTCTTGAAATCTGATTTTGAAATGCCTAAAATGCATTGATTTAGTGAAATTTTTTTGTCATCTTTACATACTTGTGTGTGCAAGATTACACAATCTTGCCTCTTTGAAACATCCTGATTGCATTTCCCACAAAACAATCCATTTGTTGTTTGGGCAGTTCACTGGACATTCAATACTATTTCTTCTCCAACGTCCTGACTCAAAGACACCAATTTTTCTTCTAACACTGTAGTTCATGGCCCAAATTTTAGATGCATAAGTCACTGAAAACTATTGGAAGCCAATATTAAATATTTGTAACAAACAAAATGCTATTTCAGGATGGAATTTACCCTGAGGCACTAACAAAATCCTTAAGGGTTTACCATATTCCTGCATTTGCTGACCCTCTCTCCTGAGTCAATTGGAAGGTTTTCAATAGAAAGAGCTTGGCTTCATTTACATTGAAGTCTCTTTGTGATTTGCTTCCTGATAATTTTTAATAAAGATAGAGGGAAGCTGGAATGGGAGTCTTTAGAACTGCTGGCTGCCTGTTTTTTATGCTCTCTGTTCTATCTTATTCTTGGTCATCTGTCTCATTATTGTTGTTGTTTTTATGTGCCGTCAAGTTGTTTGAGACTCATAGCGACCCTATTTACAACAGCCCTAAACCCTGCTCTATCCTGTGCCAATCGCACTGCTTCTGACACACCCATCCCTATTACCCCAGTCACTGAATCAATCCATCTCATAGAGGGTCTTCCCCTCCTGTGCTGTCCCTCCACCCTCCCAAGCATGATGTCCCTCTCCAAGGACCCTTCCCTCCTTACAACATGTCCAAAGTATGTCAGCCGAAGCCCCAGAATCCTTTATCCTCAGTCTGCAACAGAAAACACCATGATATCATTATTTGGATTAGTAGTGTTCTAGTCTTTAAATTAGTTCTCTTGCTCCTTAACACGCTGGAGAGATACTTTCCAGCAGATTTTCTCAATGCAAGGTATCTTTTGATTTCTTGACTACTGTTACCATGGGTATTGATTAATGATTCAATTAAATCAAATTGCCAAAAATTGCAATTTTTTTCTCCATCTATTACAATGTTGCATGTTGGTTTAATAGTGAGTATATTGATATTGAGATATATCTCTATAAACTTAGAGAACTATAAAAGTTATACAAGTGTTCGGGTCTTTTGTTCAAAGGATCGGTCACTATGAGTCATCTACGCAACTTGATGGCACTTAAAAACCATAAACAACAGTTTAATGTTCCGGTCCTTGGGAAATGACATCCTGCTGAAAGAAGTGGAAGGTCAGAGAAGAAAACAAGATCCGCAGCAAGACAGATTGATATGGCGACTATAGCAATGGGCTCGAGCATGTCTTGGATGGTGGAGACGGCATAGGATAGGGCAAGGGTTAGATCTGTTGTTCATTGAATTCTGTGAGCCAAAGAGAGAGCTCTGTTGGTCTAGTGGATAAAAAATTTTGCTATCAAGCCAAAAGTAGGTGATTTTGATCTGTGGGCCTCAGGCCTGGTTTTAATTGTTTTTGGTCAAACATTCTTCTAAGCAGTATAGCACTGGTCTGTCCATTTGCTGTACAGAGGTAACCTATGGTTACTTTGACGCTGAACACTGTGACACGGATGTGTCAAATGTGATAATGGTTACCCATGGTGGACAGTGTTTGGTGGAGCTCCCCAGTTAAAACAGACTTGAAAGCAGGAGTGGCATTCACTTCCAAAATAGCTTGCCTCCGGAAATTTATGAACTTAAAAAAATGACAAAAGTTATACAAGTGTTCAGGCCTTTCATTCATAGGGTTGCTATGAGTTATCTATGACTCAGCCGCACTTAACAACAATAACATTATATTTCCAGCTGTTTTTAATTTATCTTCAGCAAAATTTTACTTACATGCATGACTAATCATACAGTTCTATAATTTCAGCATTCATTTGGATCATACTTTTTAAGGAATTAAAAAAATGGTCCTCTTCAAATCAATAGATCATGTAGCTTTCTTTTAACCTTTTTGGCGAAAAACTGGGATCACATCCAGCACTGCATCTGTCTATTGGAACCTCTTAATTGGTATTCCATCAGTCATTATTGTTATGTGTTATTGAGTCATCTTTGATTCATAGCAACCCTATGCACAAGAGCCCTGAATCCTATCCTATCCTGAACTAATCTCACTGTTTGTGACACACCCACTCCCATTACCCCATTGCTGTGTCAATCATCTCATTCAGAGACTCTCCCTATCTTGCACTGTCCCTCCACCCTTGCAATGATTATATCCTTCTACAAGGACTGATCAAGCCTAGCAATATGCCCAAAGTATATGAGATAGAACTTTCAAAGTGTATGAGGCAGAACTTCCAAATTTGGGGGTTTACCTTCATCAGAACAAACCTGTTTGTCTCTCTGCACTTTATGATATGTTCAATACTCTCCTCTACCACCACAACTCAAAGACATCGATCCTTCTTCTGTCATCCTTAGTAATTGTCCAGTTCTCTAATATGTAGAAAGTAATTAGGAAGATTATGACGTGGACCTTAGCCTCTAGACTGACAATGTTCTTCAGCACTCTGGAGAGGGCCCTATTAGAAGGTTTTCCCAATGCAATTCTTCTTTTGATTTCCTAACTGTTAGTGTCAAAACTCGATTGTTAACAACTTCAGCCTACCCTTCATCTATCAAAGTGTTGACAAGTGGCCCAGTAGTGAGAATCTTTGTTTTTATTTTTTTATTTAAAATAAAATTCTTATTTTATGCTGATTTTACTTACACAGTCCATGTACATCATTTAACGCACAGTATCTCTCCCATTTCCTTTACCCATCCGTCCCTCTCCCCATCAAATTGTGATATCCTATGATTAACCACACCACCCATCCTCACCCTTCTGCTCTAACCTTCCCCTCCACCTTGGATTCTTGTGCACATTCTAGGATAATGATCTTATGCCTACCATATTTGTCCTTATGGGACTGAGTTAGTTCACTTAGCATAAAAGAATCTTTAATTTCTTGATCTTGACCTTCAACCCATATTGAAATTTGCAGTCCTTAATTGGAAACAAATGTTTCAGGTCCTCCTCAGTTTTGGCAAATAAAGTTGTTTCAACTGCATAACACAGGATATTGATGAGTCTTCCTCCAATCAGATGCCACATTCTTCCTCATAAAGCCCAGCTTCTCAAATGACCTGTTCTGAATATAGATTGGCAAGGTGAAGAGACAGGCTTCATCCCTGGCATACCACTTTTTTTTAACCATTCAGTGTTCCCTTATTTTGTTGGGAAGACTGCTTTTTGGTCCAAGTATAAGCTTCACATGTGCACAATAAAGTGTTCTGGGATTCAAAACCTTCTAAATGTTAGTCACAATTTGTTGTGATTCACACAGCCAAATCTTTTGCATAGTCAATGAAACACAAATAAATATTGCTGTGGTACTCTATTTTCAATAAAGATCCATCTTACATTGTCTACAATGTCCCTAGAATGCAAATTCAAACTGAAGCTAAAAAAATTAATTCAAAAGAATCAACATTTGAACTTGAGTCTATTTCACTGAAATTTAAAAGTCATCTCAGAAACAGGTTTGAGGTCTTGAACACTAAGGAACGAAGAGCAGATGAGCTGTAGGAAGATATAGAGAATATCATCCATGAAGAATGCAAAGGTCATTATAAAGATAGAGGAGGGAGAAAAGATTAGATGGATGTCAAAAGAAACTCTGAATATAGTACTAGAAAGTCATGAAGCCAAAGCAAGAAACTGGAAAAATCAAGGATCTGAACATAAAAATTTCAAAGAGAACCTCAGGAAGACAAAACAAAGCATTGTAATGAATTGTGCAAAGAAAATCTAAAGGGACAAGCTTGCTTGG